GTAGTAGTCGTCGTAGTAGTAGTAGTAGAAGTAGTAGTAGTAGTAGTAGTAGCAGTAGTAGTAGTAGTAGTAGTAGTGGTGGTGGTAGTAGTAGTAGTAGTAGTAGCAGTAGAAGTAGAAGTAGATGTAGAAGTAGCCGGAGTAGTAGTAGTAGTAGTAGTAGCTCTAGTAGGAGAAGTAGTAGAAGAAGTAGTAGAAGAAGTAGAAGTAGAAGGAGTAGTAGTAGTAGTAGAAGAAGTAGTAGAAGAAGTAGTAGTAGTCATGGTAGTAATAGTAGTAGTGCTAGTAGCAGTACTAGCAGTAGTAGTAGTAGTAGTAGTAGTAGTTGTTGTTGTTGTTGTTGTCGTAGTAGTAGAAGCAGTGGGAGCGAGTGGCAGTGGCAGAAGCAGTAGCAGTCGACCCCGAAGCCACAAACTGGACTTCCTAAAACCCTGATACCTGAAATACTGAGACTGTGGACCATAAACCCTGAAGCCAAAAACATAGCGGTCTGAATAATCAGTACGACCATCTCCCTGACAGTCCACACATAAATCTACCGTGACACACCCCACAAGCAAATTCTACCTACTATGGCTGCTAGAATCCGGCATATCATAGAACCCTGGTGGTAACTGTAACCCCTAAGCCGGAAGCTCTATAGCCTTGCTTATGAAACCCTTGAACGGAACGATGACAGCACCCCCGGCACCCCCTGTCCGATCCCGACAACCCCGACCAGAATTCTGAAGGACGCTAAAGTACCTGATCCACTTTGAAGGAGAACGTCTCCACCTCTTCAATGGTGCCTGGGTGCCGAATTCTAATGGGGTTTAGGGTTTAGGGCTTCGGTCTCGGAGCCAGGGCTTCCGATGTAATAACTTAAGGGTCTCATATTAGTAACCTTCTAGTCTTGGTTTAGGGTTTAGGGTTTAGGGTTTAGGGTTACGGTACCCTTATGGTAGCTTCATAGTAACCGTCTCGTAATCCTTTCGTAACCCTTATTGTGACACCAGAAATAAAACAACAACTTGGTGCTTCAGGATTGACGCCCTCGCGATTTGCCATGTGTGGCGATGGCGGCACACCGCTTCGGGGTCTAACACCTACGAACGATTTAGAAGCTTCGGGAGGTCAGGAGCCGGAGTCCTCCCTTGCCGGAAGTACCCTAAACCC